GGGTCCGACTCGATGGCACATAACAACAACAACACAATCCTTAGTTATACATTAGAGTTCATATAAAGTGTATGCCAAGATCCCTTTGAGAAGACACATTCAACATTCCAATTTTCATATCAATTGTGACTTAAAGTTTGAGGACCAGAATGACATGACCAGTTCCCTCAATTTCTCTCTTTATGTTCAGCCAGTCAAGGAGAGGCTGAACTTCATAAGGAAACTAGAAGGCTTTCCTTTTGGTGCAGGCTGAGGTGGGACCTGAAGATAAAGCATCTGGAGTGACATACGCAGATTCTAAAGGAACCTGACCCCTGGGGACTAGGTCATGTTTGTGGGGAGAGGTCATCCCCTCATCCGGCCTCTCCCCCACACCTCTTCTCCATGTGTTAGACTGATCTTTGGAGAAACACACATGGCTCTAACTGCTGCCTGCACTAAATTGAGAACCTTTCAATATCAGAAACTGTGTCTGATCTCTACATCCCCAGCACGTGGTCGAGTACCCGGTACATAAAAAACAAAACCAAAACTGAAGCCACTGCCACTGAGTTGATTCTGACTCATAATGACCCTCAGTGTGTTTCCAAGGCTTCATGGAAATCTTTATGGAAGTAGATTGCCTTAATTTCTTCCCACAGGGCAGCTGGTGGGTTAGAACCACCAACCTTCTGGTTAGCAGCCAAGTGCCTTACCCACATCACCAGAACTCCTTGGTATATAAAAGTTGCTTCATAAATGAGAGGTGAATAAAATCAGGAAGCACAATAGTTCGGGCCACTAACCTGAGTTCCCCATAAGCCCATATATTCATTCCATTCCACTCCTTCCTTTACTCATATGATTTTATTGATTCATGCATTGCCTATTAGTTATGTGTCCTATTCACACTTTGATTCCAAATCCATTTCATGAATACTTCCATCCATTCCATTCACTTATTCACTCAACCCTGCTTTTATTTCATTCCATGTGTCTTTCATTCTTTCTGCCATGAATTATTAACTCCTCCCTCTTTCCCTTCCGTCAGTACTCATTTCAGTCCTTCCTTTATTCATTCCACATATTTATTTCATCATCATCCCATCCCATCCCATTCATTCATTCAGTTATGCATTTCATTGATTCAACATTGTGTGTGTGTTTCACACACAATGTGTGCCACGCAACATCTCTAGATCCAGCATAAACACTGCCCTTCCAGAGAAGCTAACTGAGCATTTGTTTAATGAATACGTGATCCACATTAATTCACCGATGCTAAAAACCTGTATTTTATGCAGAATTTTGAGGAGGAAACTTGTCCTACAACTCACCATCCAGGCCATGGACACAGACAACCAGGTGAATCCCATCTTCCATATTTTCTTCCTCTTCCTCTGGTGGGAAATATGGTACATCAGAAGCTAGTACAGATAAGTCACTGTACAGAAATCCTTCAATCTTCAGTTCTTTTTTAAATTTTTCTTTGGCCTGATAGAAACTGGAGAATATACTAATTAATCACAAACCATGCTGTGTATTCCATGTTAAATAGGAAATGATGTGGGGCTGGTGTGCAGAAGCGATGAGGGTCTGCAAGAGAATCATCTCCCAAACTGCAAAGGCTGAACATGAGACCTCAAGAGAGAGGCTGCCAAGGGCACAAGCAGGCAGAAAAGCGGCACCCCCAAAACCAAAGATTCTGCTGGTTTGGGCTCTGCAGATTGTGTGTGTGTGAGTGTGTGTGTGGTTCCTGCATTGAACAGGAGACTAGATGGGGGAACTTTTAAGATTCTATCCAGCTCCAAAGATCCATGCACTCTTTCCACTGATCCTCCCCAAAGTAAAAGCTTCTTAGCCTGGCACACATGGCCACCAGGTTGGCCTCCACCTGCTTCTCCAGCACCACCCCCAGCCAATTCCAGCTTCCAGAAATAATACAATCTTATACAGTAAAGCCTGCAAATGCCGGAACCTGTCAGAGAAGGAAAACTCAAATATTTTCACTAAAATGAGAGACAGAAAGTGGTAGGACTGCACCCTATCAAAGGCAGAAAACTTGCAAGCCTGGAAAAATAAGGCAGTCCTGTCCATGTCCAACTCTCAAAGGACTCACTGTAATTCCCTGCATGAACCACATCATTTGGTTTTGCTTCCACACCTCTGTCTGTCTGCCTGGAATGCCATTTCCATCTGGCTACACTATACCAAGGTAGTGGTAGGAGCGTGGACTCAGGATTCAGAATACCAAGCTTGCACTTTCAGCTTTCACACTTACAACCTGTGGGCAAACTGCTTAGTCTCTCTGGGCTCAGTTTCCTCATTTGTAAAAGCAGAATAGCATCTTTACCTAATTCATAAAGTTGTTTCATCCATTAAGAAATAGTACCTATGCAAAAAGCCTAGTATAGTAGTTGAAATACAGCAAACAGCAAAACATAGCTATTATCAGTCATATCCTGATATCATCGTTGTCTCCTATGTTTTACCCTCAACACAAGTGGCAGGTTCTCTCTGAAGCTTCTCCCGGCCTCCAGACAAGTTAGGGCCATGTCTTCCTGGCTCCACTGTGTGCATATGAATCATCACACTTACCTAGTAATTGTCCTCATTTAAATCTCTTATCTGTCTGTCTCTCTGTTAGACTGTTAGTACGGTAATGGCCAGGACAACATTGGCCAGGCCTTGGACAGTGACAAGTATGTGTTTGTTGAATTGATAGAGGTCATGTAATAGGTGTTTAGTATTCTTTATAAAACAAAAGGTCCTTATGCAGGCAATTCACCAATATTGTTTTAAGAGTTTCTTCTCTATCTGCTAG